TTCCTTGGTTGAAGTAAATGGAACTGACCAATCTATCTACCTGCAGACAACTTGGCCCCAGGGTCTTTTAAACTTTAGGCTAACTTGCCCTGCAGAAGTGAAAGGTACAAATGATACTGCCTCGAAGGAGTGAGTCCCTCAATAGATGTTGAAGAGCACTCATAGAAAAAATACCTGCATTTTCATTCTTTTTATGCAAATTCTTTAAAACTGTACTGACTCTTACAAATATTTATCTTCAAAAAAAGAGAGCATCCACAATAAGACATATATTACACAATTTCCAAAGAGCCATCATCTTAAATTAAAAAAAAAGCCTTGCAAATTACAATCATTCTAAAAATCAAAATAGCTTAGCCAGCTGTTAAAGAAGCGCATACATTCATCATTACTGAATGCATTACTGCTTTAAAGACATATAATTCCAAAATAATCTCCTTGAAATAAACACAGCAACAGCCATAAAACATGCTGGACTGAAATTGAAGGCGAAGCAAGCAGTATTTGTTGTATTAGAACCCTGACAAAACACATTTTAATCATGTCCAGTCTTACGAATTCTCAAACGACCTGGAGTGCCATTTGGCCTTCATGATTAATGTGTACTTTATCATTGTAAACAGAGCTTCCTGAACATTTCTATAAAGTCTGCTTTTTAAACCAACATTTAAACAATCAGCATTGCCCTTTCTCTCCTTTTACCTTGTGGTGGTTGTGTGCAGATTCTAAATAAGGTATAAGATATCAGGATTTTTCATATTTCAGTAGAGAAAAAGAATTTAATCGCAGAAAAGCACTGGAATTCAGAATGACCTCAGGTATTAGCTTTGTTGACTTGAATGGCAGAATTTGTGCTCTCCTTATCCATCTCAGGAATTAAAGAATTTTATGTGACACGGCTGATGTGTTGATCAATAAAACAACAACAATCATTTACACTGCAAGATTAGTGCAGTTTCAAAAATCTGCCTTAACCAAGCCAGCAGTTGTAGCAGAATCGATAGACAAGGCATCTTGCTTAGTGGTGTGCATAAATGAAGTACGACTAAATTTTTAACACCCAATGAATACAGATTAGGATGATAAAACCCATATGCAGAATGTGTTCTGCAAGCTATGCAATGATAGTGTGCTGGAGAGTGTAATGCACAATAAAATAATAAAAGTATTAGAAATTCTTCCTTTAATTTTCATCCTCTACTTCACTCAGTATTTACACTATGAGTTTGCAGACAGCATTTAGTTTAAGACCTGTTGCAAAGGACCTCAGTAAATTTGCTGCCGTGCGTTCATATGTCAGGTCTACAGCTTCCTGTTACTTTAAGTCTCTCCTCTTATTTTCCTAACCACTCATCCCCTTATTTGGCACACTTTAATCTCCTAACTAGCTGCCTTCTATTGTCAGTGAAGTTTCTGATGTGTCACTACTGCTATAGGAGTCAATCATCTTTAGTTCAAGATGCAGATAAAAGGAATGCAACTGTTCTTTTATTAATGGTCTAATATGTTTGTGTTTAAACAACAATTACTCCAACTGGCATTATTTTAATCCAGATGCTTGAATTCAGAAGGGCTACACTATAGCTTTGCAAGATAAAGAAAGACAAACATCAAATCATTCTATTTCTAATCTGATCTGCTAAATCAGTCTCATTAAATCTGCTTTAATTGCTATTTTTTTCTCAGCTGGTTCAGACTTCTCCAAAGTGTTATATTTTCTTTTTAAAAAGCTGTCTGAATGATCAACAGGATGGCATTTCCTAAATGCAGACCTACATACATATAATATATAAAGCAACAATTAATATGTTGTATAGTAAAAAAACCTGATTAAATGAAACACTGAATAATCTGAAGAAAGCCAAGTAACATTCATTTTCATTCATGCCCATATGAGTATACCAGATCTGTATTTCCCAGACAAAGAGAAATTACCAAAAACCTTAGCATCACAATGAAAATAACTGATAGTCATTCACTATAGGTGGAAACTTTTCCTACAGTAACAACAGAATTACCCATTTTTGATGATACATGATTAGGCAAAAGGGAAAACATCCTAAACCTATGAAAAATCTGTATTTCTCTCATCTGTATTTTCATTTATTCAGAGTATTGAGCTCATTACTGGTTCTCATTCAAAATAATCTAAGCATTCCTCTGTATTCTTCTCTGAAAAGCAGGCGCCTTTTATTCTAATCAATGAAGGACTTACACAGTACCATGTATCTGGCAGTGAAATAAAGCTCTGCAAAACTGGAAATTCATTAACGGGTACTCTATAACACTAAAGAATCCGAGCTACTGGTTTTCCAGGTTGATCTTTTTTTCTATTTCTGCTATCGTGGTCAATTAAATGTAAATACTTCATGAATGTTATAGTATACATTGTTTGAACTGGCTAACTTACTGAGAGTTGATTATCTTAAACCTGTGAAGTAAACAAGAAGAGTGAATATTAAAGACAGTAGCTCAGCATAAAAAATGTGATATGCCCTTGAACTTATAACACTGCAGTAAGCAATTACCTTAAAGAAGCCACCCACACAACAGAACTATGGCTTTGTTCCTTATCTTCAAAGAACAAGCCACTTGCATCTGGATCAAATCCTTTAAACAATACACGAACACTCAACATCAAAGCACTTTCATTTTCTTCAATTATTTAATTTAATTAGAGCTAATGCAGACATGAATTTAGACACTGATTGCTGTGTAGAAAATCCCCAGAAAACATGTTCAAGAAATTAATCAATTTGGTTTTAATTTTATAACGATTTTTCCACCAGTACCTGACAGGAGCGCCTCTGCTCTGTGCAGGTTTCAGCAAGACTGTCACAGTGCTGTCAGTTTGATTCAAAGGTGTTTCAAGTTCATATGGTGGCATAGAGGGTGCTAGAAGAAGAAAAGAGGCAAAAATAATCATTATTCCTGTATTTTTTCTTTCAAGAGCTGTATCTTTACTTAAATAGGTAATTTTAAAGACTTATTCAGATATAAAGACAGTATTATAGGTCTAAGATGCTTTCTGTTACAACACAAGTGTGAGACAACTGTTAAATAACTTCAGGATAAAACAATAAAACAAAAAAATAAACCAAAGAAAAACCCACCAAAGAAATCTCAGCTCACTGCCAATTTCAAGACAGGAAACAGATGAGTGGGAGTAAGTTTGCAGAAAGTACTGAGAATCCATGACTTGGAAATGAAAAGTTATCTCAAGAAGAGCATCTGCAAATGTGCATGTGAAGGTTTTGAAGCTGAGCCCAGCTTTCTTAGTATGACAGTGGTATTAGAATACACTCAGAATTTGACATTTCTGGAATTTTAACTAATGCTGTAACCGTCCTGTGTCTGTTGTCCACCACAGATATAATTTACAATAACGAAGCAGGATTATCACCATGAGAGCTTATCTTAGTTTGAAGCCACGCTCATTGTCACTCCTGCAAACTGTGTCTTCATTAAGGAATTACAGCTGTGATTAAAACAAATGATGCCTCGGATGTTGTCTTGTCCTGGTGCTGCTTACTTCAGTTCTACCATCTAGTCACATTTTGGTAATTATATTGGATAGAAGGCTGCTTGGTTAATCCGTTGTTTAGCAGTCTGTTGTATCCTTAGTGTCCAGTTGTTAAAGATGATACATAATTAACAGGTTTGAAGGCTACAGAAGCAAAAAGAGGTCAGTGCAAAGATCTTTTCTGACCACAGGAGTAATGGAGGGCAGTGAACTTCCCTAAACTAATTCCTGCTTGGAGAAGAAAATACACTTGGTGGGGGAGAAGATCCTTTCTTTAGCAGGTTCTTCCAATGGCTAATTATACTTCATGCTGAACACAGAGACATATTTGGCATCTCATTTCATTTAGCTTTCTCTTCTAGCCCCTGGATACTTTGTGTATCATACTGATGATGTTACTCAGAGTACATTATGCTCCACATACAGAGAATATCAACCTGTAGGCTCCACTAGCAAAATAAATAGCTCCAGTGACCTGAGTCTTTCTTTCAAGTCTATTTTCCGGTCCTTTTCACCTTCCCAGTAGTAGCAGCATCTACTTGAAAGGTACAGGAACTTCCCTCTCCTTTATCTATATTGTCCTATATATCCAAGTAAGGACTGCATTAACACTTTTGTTCACAACTATTCAGTCCGCTGTGAAAATATTAATACCTTCATCGCTTTTAATTGATGTTCACCAGTTTTGAAATGCTTCACAAATAAAAAAACTAATCTTCAAAAACCTCCTTGTAAGCTGAGAGGGTTTTATTCTGCTTACAATCCTGTCTATAAGGAACAAACATTTAGACTAATCTTTTTAAGTAATTTGGGTACCCACTTTGGGAAGCCTAAAGGCATAATACTCCCCAGTATGTCTAAGATTCCAACACAATTTTCACATATTGCAGTTTTGACTATCCAGAACTTGTTCACATAATGTCCAATTCTCAAGTTAACCAACCTGAAAATAAGGGAAGCACAGAGTAACCGTATCTTCAACAAGCTGTATGAATTCTGAATCTTTCTGGAAGACTGTGTCATTTCTTGTGCTTGGTCTCCTGCCCATATCTTAACAAGTCTTGTAATCTTAATTCATGACTCCTGAGTCTCTGCTTGTACTCTTTACTAATCTTAGGCTTCCTCTACCAAAACTGTCTTCCTGTCCAGGACATGAGCTCTGGCTCTCCCAGCCCAACCTTTCAGTCCTGGCTACTTTATCTCTTCTCCACAGATAGTTGGACATTACCTGTTCTTACACTTTTCTTCTGTCTAGGTTAGGAGTCTTCCTCCTCCATACTGCCCATGTGTAGAGAAGGAGCTTATCAATCAACACAGAAAACAGGAGATATTCTTCCTGTTCACAGTTTTTGCAACTGGACAGCCTGGTCTTCAGCAGCAGAAAGCTCAGATGCACTAAAAGGTAAGGCTCTTAGAGACGCTATCTGTGTTGGGCCACAGTGAGTTGATGTACCAACAAGCAAGGCTCTAAAAGCTTGGAGAACTGAAATCTAATTAGTGAGGATGTCATCTACAGTGACATTTGCTGCTCAGTTCTGTCAAGTTTCCACTACCTGTGTGCAAACTGCAACATTTACAAATGGCCCAAAACTGGACAGATCTTCAGAGTGATGGCCCAAAATAATGTCTCTCTTCTTGCTAAATATTTAAATCCCTGTTTGAAAGCACTTCAGTAAGGTATCAATCACCAGAATTTTTCATTATGTCAGCCGTGTTCCTGAAATGGGATGAGAGTCTTCATAGTATGAAAGGCAGCATACAAAATTTCGGCCTGCACAGCTGAATTTTCAGAAAGTTATATGCAACAGAAAACCATCTTCTAATAGAGTGCCCATCAATTTTGATAGCAGGCACTGCTACGAGATCTGTTTTTGGTAATACGTATTTACATACAGATCACTCCATCCATCAGTGCCAATCACAAAGCTGTAGAATGAAATACGGCAACTATTTACAGTAACGGAATATTACTACTCAAAACACTTAAGACAGGAAATTAAGGGTGTTTTATTCAAATGAAAATGCAGTCTAGAGTCAGACAAACTAAGGCACAATGACTCAATTCAGAAACTGGTCAGAATGCACTGTTGCCACCTCATCTGCCCTAAAAATAGTGAAACCTTTCAACTATAAATGCTCAACATTTTTGTTTCACTTGTCTCCACAATGAAGAACACTGACCACATCAAAAGCCTTCAGAAAGTGAGGCAATGAGATTACAGGCCAATAACAGTGGGTACCATAAAAGAGGGTATCATATTCAACAGCTAAAATCTCAGTTGTGATTTTTCAATTATACTAAGAGATGTTTGCATTCTGCTTCTGTTTTAAATTCATCAAAAGATTGGCTTTACCTACCCAAAGACAAGCCATAAATATTCCCTGTTAGTTCAGGGAATTCAAATAATCCCTGTTAGTTCATTACTAACATGAAGTAATGAGAGAGTGGGGTGCAGACAAGACAGCTTGCAGAACCTCGCCACATGGTAGCTTGGAGGGCAAGTCTCATTCCCAAGCATGCCTGTAATGTCGTGTTTACCCTCATGAGTTTTTGTTAGTGACACACCAACTTTGGAAAAGCACAACAATTTAAGACCCAGCACTATTCCCAAATGGCCAGGTTCTCCCCCAATCTCAATAGTCTCCCTGCTTTCTAATAAGGTCTGATTCTGCCATCCTAACTGATAGTAACTCTTGCTATGTCAGAAGCTGATTTCTGACAAAGTTTCTGCTCAGTATAGGAAAGGAGATGGAAAATGAACCCCATCATTACTGAACAGTGTCAATTATGTTTAGACATTCTATAAAGAATAATTTTCTAACTTGAAAATTAACAACTTTTTTTTTTCCTCAACAAACACCTGTATAGGCCATAATTTCCACCTTGCATTAACTGTCTTATACTATAGTAAGAAAAAAAGAAATTGCTTTATTTCTGATTAACACTTGTTACTCTTTTTCATTCCAGCGAGGACAGAAAATGAGTGATGGAGAAAAGTACAAAGAATGAGAGTAAAAGAGAAAAAATATTTTGTCCCCAAATGTCTTCCTTTATCCGCAAACAGATAAGGTAACTTTCTGTAAATATTATCAAGGGGCCATAGCCAAGCTGTCAATTTAATTCCCAAGGTGACTGTAGAGAAGTGAAAAGTAAAGGGATTTCAGCTGTAACTTTGCAAAACATTTTGTCATCAATTACATAAGTATTTTAGTGTATGGAGTAGTATTGCACCCCATCAGCTACAGAAATGAGGTATTCCTCTGCCTCTGCCTCTGGAAGGGCTTTAAAATACTGTTCATGGATCTGCAGACGTGACAGAGTTATGCTACTGTTATCTGAAAACCACTAGCCCTGATGTTCTTGTCTAATACTGTTTCATACCCACTTCAGGCCACACGCCTGCTAGGAACATAGGCAGGCTGGCAGTCAGCTGCACTTGCTGAGCGAGCGCGAATCATACAGTATTTCTGCTCTGCTCTCAATTATTCATGGGTCATTAAAGAGATTTTCCAGCACCGTTACTGTACTAATTTAGAATCATGTCAAGGCTGACTAAGCTCTGAATGGAATCCTCATCCTCATGTCCAAAAAGCCTATGCTAAATGTTGCAACAGCATCTGGCACTAACTGCAGGCACACAATTCACAGGGTTTCTTGGGCGATAGCTACAGTTGTGAATAGGAATTTCAAAGTACGAGCTGATACTTAAGCACTTGGAAGTTATTCAGATATGTTAATGTATGTCACTTTGACATCTTCAGGGATGAACATGTATTTTACTTTTTCAATTTGCCGCTTCTTAAGTCCTAAAGATGAAGTGAACAACAAAAGCATTACCCATGCCATTACCATAAGCAAACAATAATATTCTTTAATCAAGTACCTGATATTTTAGTGGTGAACTGGTTTGTGATTGGAGGTCCAAAGCCTTTTGCTGTGCTGGCTCTGATGGTAAAAGAGTAGGTAGTGCCAGGATAAAGTCCAAAAAAGAGATAGTGCGTTTCATTTCCTAGCTTTGAGACTCGTCCACTTTGATTGGATAAATCTATTTCTGGGTCAAAGGAACTGACTGCTTTGTAGGTGATCTGCAAAAGAGTAAGAAAGTTATAAACTGTCTTTAGCAGATGGACAGAGATTGCATCTTTATCCAGTAAACCCTTCTGATGTATGCGCTGTCAGACATTTTATGATAAGCTATCTTACTCTCCTATACTCTTCAAATCCCGAAGCCCATGAAGGCACACAGAAACTCAGCCATAACTGGTATGAGTTATTACTTTTATAGATACAGAGACTTAGAGGCAGCTAGATTACAACTCTAAAGGATGGGTTCAGGTTTACATTAATTCCTTCAAGATGCTGGCTTTGACAGTGTCATTTTTTGAATTCATCTTACTCTTGGTTTTGATCAGCAACAATAACAAAATCAAAACAACCAGGTAAACATAGGTAAGTGAATAGCAGAAGGTGTAGCCTCCAGTTCCAGCTGCCTTCAATATAATTACACTTTGCTCTGAATAAGATTATTAATAAAAGATGATAAGGGGAGCTTAATGGAAATTTTTCAGAAAGTGGGTAAAGCTTGTATTTTAGTTTGAAGCTAAGGTATTGTAATTGCTAATTTGGAATTTTTCAGGTTACTATATTGTACCTAGGTTAGATTCTCATTTGGAGGAAATGAGAGATAAAATGTTAAGTAATATACGCATCGTGTATACTGTATCCTCAGTTCCTTCTTTGATTTAAACAGTATTTTTAGTTTTCATTAGAAATGTTAATGTAAGTTCACAGTAAAACTTGATCCACGTTTCTTCTATTAATTACTGATTTCCATGCACTGTAATGAGAATTTAAAAATAAGAAATCCATTAAAAAATTAACAAGTAAAAATTATTCACCCCTCCTTTTTACTTTTAAAGTTTCATTGGTATGCGAATAATTCCAACACTCTTATTATATAAAGTGATAATTAACATTCTTTTTGCTATATTTAATCTGTATCATTATAATTAAGAAGACACATAAAACAATACAAACTAACATCTAAGTACTGGCATTACACACCTTAAACATTTGCAGTTCCCTAAAACCACTGACTTAATGAAAATTGATTTTTATATAACCCATCTAATAGAACATCAGTAAAGTGCTAAAAATTAGTAATAAAAACTTTGATACCATCTAGATAAATCCCAACATTATTTCAGTAGATAAATGCAGATCTTCTACAACTCCTCATCCATAAATTGAGCTGAAAGTGTCTTAGAACTAATGCTCAACTAACCCTCTTAGTTATAAGAGAAGACAGAAGATTACACTACCAAATATCTGAACTTTTATCAGTAAAGAAATTAAGGTTACCTATTACCCAAAAGAATCTACCTTTCCGATGGTAAATGTTGTTATGTCTGCTTGTTCTAGTAGTGGGTCATAAATTTTTTGAAAATTTTGAAAGACACGTTAGACAACTACACCACAATTATGTTTTATATACATCTGATCCTGCTTTACCACAGATATGTGAGCTAAATGAACTCTTGAACCTCCCTTTAACTCTGTTTTCTGTATTTCTGTGATTCTTAACTGGATTTTCCAAAAAGCCCTTTAAGCTTTATTCAGAATAATACCAGACTATCAGAGACTCTGCAGTCTATGTTAGTTTCTCTTTTTTTTTTCCCCCAGTATTTAGCTATTAAATAGCTAAGTGGCTGATGTTCTGCAATGAAATAAGTTCTTCCGTGGATCACGCAAAAGTAAGTGTTTTGCCTGGTTAAAATGAACTTCCACTGTTTCTGTATTTTACTCTGACTTGTAAGACTGTTCCCACTTATTTTTTTAAAATTAATTTCTTATGTCCACCACAGCTAATGCCAGTTCAGCTTTGCAGTGATGAAAGAAAAAGAGCATGAGGGTCATCTTCTCACTGGATATTGATTATTTTTATCAAATTTAGATGAAACCTTGCCCAAAGGACTAATCCCTTTATTCCTACACCTGTAAACCTGTACTGGTGATAGAGGAGCAAAATGGTATAATTTATCATTATGTCATTTCTTCATCTAAAGGTTTTTTTCATTTAAATATTGGTAAAATAATTGGATTTGCATTTAATTTCACAATAACAATGAATACTTTAATATCTGATACTTCAATGCACATTTTTCCCCACCACATATATTAAAAGACTTGTCTCCTGGCACTAAAAAAAATAATACCTGGCTTCAGAAAACAGACTTAAGTGATGAGATTTTTAGCAACATAGAAAGTTAGGTATTCAGAGTAAGAATTACCAGCCACAGAGGTGAGACTGAGCTGAACTGTGCCCTACCCAGGCTTCCCCCTTACTAGGTCAGTGCTCACCTACTAGGCCTTTCTATGAAAGGTGAATGCCATGAGCAACACAATTTTCACTAACATACCAAGTATACCATATGTTTGCATAAGAGTAGCTTTAGTAGCTATGCTTTTTAGATCAGAATCGTTAATGTATACACAGACAAGGTTTAGATGCTTCTTTGTCTAAGCTTTGGCTTGCAACGAGGCGTAGGCCGGAGCCAGGCATCTCAATTCGCAGGCCTGGGTGATTTGGAGCTGTGCTGGATGCACAAAGATCAGCCAGAGAAGTGCCTACTAAGACATCATGAATAGTCTAAATTAACTTATAAAACACAGGTACCTATATTTAATCTAACTTGTCTGGATCTTATCCTGTGAGCTACTTCAGTTAGCTAAAATATATCTGAAGAGTGCTTTTATATTCAACTGAAATACACATTTAAAATAGGTAAAATGTTCCTGTGATTCATTGTGTTTGTTGGCTTCCAGTTAGTTTGGCAGCCGTATTTATAAAAACTTAGTGAAATATTTTAGGCTTATAAGCAAACATCTGGGAGGAAAAACTACTGACAAACAAGTCTTCATCAACTAGGTGTCTGTTCATATCCAGTCACCTGGATATGGGCTGAGTTGGTGTCTTTCGAACAAGGGACGGTTTGGTTGCAACAGCCTTTTGGAATCTTTTACTTAAAAACTAATTAAAGCAAGTTTCTGATCTAACCGATTGCCTTGCTCCCTCCATCTCTGCTTTGAGGCATATTGGCTAAACAGTATAGAGATACCAGTATTTCCTTTTCAATATTCTCCTCACTGTTGTCATCATAGGTTCTTTTGATGTTCAGAGACTTGCACAGTCCTGACTACCTTTAAAAAGTCTGGCCAAGCGATTCTGTTCTATCTCTGAAAACACCTGCAAAACTCCTATTACAGCTGATGAAGTTATGTACCTATACGTATTTAAGACTGAACTGCACGCATACAGTGCATATATTCCTCAGCAATGTAACTAGACATGCATACAGAAAGATGATTCACCACTGTGTGTTTCTATGCACATAAAGCCTGACATCAGTAAAAATACATTAACTAAAACATTCTGATCCCTGAAGACAGGCAACTGTCGAACTAGCTGGAAAGTAGTTACCTTTATAAAAAAATCAATCCATACTTTTTCATAACATTTTATTCTCTCACAATAAAATAGTTTTCAAAACAGTATCAATAGGTTACTGTTCAATTTAAGTTTTCTTTTACACCATATCTCATTTAGGTGTTTTTTTTTTAAACAAAGCATTTCAATACAGATTTTGTAGTAAGGTCAGGTAAGAAGCTTAACAGTGATTACTGTCTGACAGCTTAATCTGTGCAGTCCTTTGTCAATTTTTCTAAAAGGTATTCAGGCAGAGGTTCCACATGAGGGAAAGCAGAGATTTTTCAGACATCTAACAACATATAATTTTGTTGAATTTGCATTTAAAAAATGCTAGATTTTTTAATTATGCCTGCTTGTTTCTATTACAATAGGCTTCCTGTAATAAGTCTGATTTAAAAGTTATGTTGACTGTCACCACTGTGTTATGTCTCCTGTTTTTAAAAAAAATCATGAAGATCTGTCTTTCAATCTTTTAAATATTTGATCCACATTAGTAGACAGAATGCTGTATCATATGGTTCTAAAAATAGTTTTCTTAAAGCTGGTAACCCAGGGACATTTTGAGTCCTGCAGTAATTCACTCCTACATTATATATTTGATTTTATTACTTCGTAAGTGCTACTAACTTCAAAAAGAATATTCATTTTACAAAAACTGGAAAAAAATAATTTCCTTACTAATTGCATACTTCTGAAAATCAAATCTATACATAAAAATTAAAACATGGCAAAATGCTAGGTACCTCATATGAAGTAATCACACCATATGTTTGTGCTGGCTCTCTCCACTGAAGAAAAATCTTCTCTTCAAAGGTACTTCCTTGAATAGATTCAAGTGGCACAGCACTCGGGACTAATGGATAAAAAAAGGAAAAAATGCTGTTTTAAGAAAAGCTTCAAAACACACACTGCTTAATATTTGCACAGCTGAGGCATAAAACCCATCTGTCCGTCATGTCTAAATCCCTTGTTGCGATAGAGTGCATATTCCACAGCATTTTGTGAATTGTTAAAGAGATCACACATAACCATATACGACCTCCTCTTCTCTCTGAATAAACCATCTCAACTGTATCTAAACTCTTTGGAAATACCACCTGCTATTATTTCCCCAAGATTGAAGCAAAGATCAGTGTTGCTCAGGAGGAGAATGGTTTATTTAACGTGATAGTGTCATTAGGGAAATATATGCGTCACCTTCAGTGTAAGAAGGAATTGGTGATATCTCAAATATAAATTCTTGCAAATAAAATCTACTTGTGATAGTCACTTATCAATAGTGTCACTACCCCTAGTGAAAAACATATTAAACATTCATATAAGAAAATGAACTAGAATGGTTAGCTTGAAAGATGAGCCACATGTTGCATAGAACAGTGATGCTCACTGACACTAGGCCTGAAGACCTACAACAGGAAGAGCATAAAGAAAGTACAAAGCAGCCAAATTGAAAATCTGACCTTATTAATTTTTCTTAAAGTCTTCTAATTTATAAGAATGACCTCTGAAGAGTCAGGGATATCAGCAAGTTCTGATAAAGGGTATTGGGTAATGGCTGGGTCAATGGCTTTTGGGTATCTACTTCTGGTTCCTGCTTGTTCTGCAACAATTATCCCTGAGCCAACCTCAACACAGTTTTCAGAGGAGAAGATGTGTAAACAGCACATGGACATTTTCTTTTTGTAACAATACTTGAAAAAGAATGTGAAAAGAAAATTCTGAAAAATGCACGCAGGACTGTTGTGAGGCAACGGGCATTAACGGGTTTGCACTTTTCCACAAACTACATGTGAAAATCCTGTAAGAAGATACAATTACCATTTTCCACATGCTAGAGAAAGAAGATGGAAACTACTTGCTGCAGCGGTTGAAACTACTTCTCAGATCCCTCACTGAGATTTACCCAAATGGTTAAAGAATAGGAAGATGTGCAAGCAAGACATCTGGTGACTCCTTCCCCTTTGTAGGTCCGGTAGAGCACTATCCTCCTCCTACTCCTCCATGCTGTTGGTTTGGGAGTTCACACAGTTTGAGATTTCATAATCACCTCTCCATAGGTCTCCTCAGAGTCCCTTGCTCTACCAAAAGGAAGTTCTAAGGACACAAGTGATGGTTTCTGAACCGGCTTACCAGTCCTGTGTGGACCCGTGAGATCATGCCTTTTAGGCAATCATAAGTCAGTCTGGGCACTAAACCCTGCTTCCAAGTAGAGAACCGACAAAACTAAATTTGAATGATGGGGTTAATGATTTATGTAAAAGGAATTAAATACAGTGTAAATAAGTATAGAAAACCACTGTGGCAATCATCTAAAATTATCTGAAGGTTATAAACTCTGAGCAGTTATGCCATGAGGGAGTTCAAACACTGGCAAAGAGGTTGTGGGATATCCATCTTTAGAGATTCTCAGAACTCAGCTGTACAAGACCTTGAGCAATTTGCTCTCACTTGACTGCTCTGAGGAAAAAGCTGGACTAAATGAGCTCTGGAGGCCCCTTGCAACCTACATGACTGGGTGATTCAAAAAATTATGATAATTATTTGGGTCAGTATACCCTGTTGTGTTACATCCACATTTACGCACCTTAATGAAAGTGTGTGGTATACTTAAAAGTTATAATTTCTGTCCAAGGTATTCTCTCAACCACTGAAGCTGGTTTTTAATAGTCTCAGAATAATATAAAATTCCAGAGGGTTGGGAATGAGAAAATATGCACAATTTTAGATAAAATACATAAACAGCCCAGATAACCATCAGGTATTTAGCTTTGTCATCCTACAATTGAACCAAAATTAGAGGATGACAGCAAAATTAATTCTAATTAAACAATTTTTTGTTAGCTATGCTTTTTCAATTCTGTTGCATTAGCAACTATACCTTCCTAAACTGTTTGAATTATTCAATCATATATTTTGATTAGAAATTAGTACTACACAAAACCAATATAGCATATATTAAATGATTTAATAGGTTTAAATAACAGACTTCAATTATTTATTATGAAGGGAACTCATCATTGCTGAAGTTGTTTCCAGAAATCTTTCCAACATGTTTGCGGTAAATCTGTCATTGATCTGGAAGAAAATACAAAGCCATCTCTGTTCAGATTGCAGATGATAAAAATGAGGGGAGGACAGAACTGTTATATAAAGCAATGCCAGTCAATTGATACGGTTTCTCTGAACAGTATGAATTTTAAAGTGGCTAAAAGCAAGGTCAAAAAACCCAAGGTATACTTGTAGAGGGCACTAACGTCAGCACAGTTAGTTCTGGAAAGGTGATACCTATTCCTGGTGCATGACCAATTCAACAAGGAAGCCCCATTTTGGTATTGTAGCTGAGTGCCAGTAAACTCTCTGCATGTATAATCACAATAATATCACAGAGGACTCAGAAAGATGGTGTAATCTTTTCATGCAATATTACCAGAGCATCACAGAGACACAGTAGCCAATTCTGCTGTCCATGCTTCAAAAAAGAGACTTAGAAATTATGTTATTGCTCAAAATAAAAAAATGAGATCTGAAAACTCCAAATTAGCTGAATATTCCTAAATGGAAGGGAATATCTATACATTTAGATGTCTGATATGGAATATATTGTGTTACTTATATGTCTGCTTATTCATATATTATACGTCTGAATAAACAACTAACAGTGGTTGGAAAGCCAAAGCTAGAAAAATTGAAACCACAAATCAAGAACAAGTATTTAATCAATCAACAGAAAAGCTTACATGAGGATACTGTGGGCAATCACCTGACATTGCTTCAAACTGATACTGGAACTTTCAAGAGGCACAAGTTATGAGTTTAAATGATGTGTGATGTTACACGTTATGTAAAAGATCATTACAATAATGGACCCTTTACTATCTTAAAATTGGTGAAGTTTGGGTAATATCTGTTACAGACTCTAGTGAAAGTGGAACATGCACTTATATAGAAAAGTGTACTATCAGGTAGCATGCACGTACTATGTATATGTAAATACAAAAACTCACCATCTTCATCAGTTTGTACTACAAGTTCTTGGCTTTCTTTTCGTCCTTCAGGGTTCATTAGTACTAATTTGATGCTGACATTTGTGTATGGTGACAGATTAGTAATTGTGTGCTGGGGATGTGAACTTTCTGTATCCCAGCTTACTTCTTCTCTCACTTGCTCCTGTCCTCCAGCCTGGTAACGGTAATGGACTGTGAGGTTGTATCGATGGCAACGTGTGACATTATATCCAAATGGTTCCCAGCAAATAGTGATTTGTCTAGATTTGATCTCCACCACCTCTAGTTTTCGTGGCCCACGCATTGGATCTGCAAAATTACCAACATAATTCTGGCATGATTATTTATTCTTATTATAACAGTAAGTAAAATGAGCACTAAGAAGTTATACAGTTATACAAATACGATATATAAGCAGAAACAGAAATTCATAGCTTTATCTTTTATAGTTCAAATAACATTAAAAGTATAGGTCTCTAAAAAATCAGGAAAAAAAACAGTGAGAAAAGGCATGAAGTGTCCTGGATGAAAAATGAAGAGCAAACAAAATACCAGAAAGTTTTTATGCTTAAACTCAAAGTGCATGACACAGTTTAAATGACATTTACTTTTTAACCTACCTGTTGCTTGCAAAAAATGATTATGTCAAATTTTTTTTACAAATTAATTTGTGAGTAAAAACCTTCACAAAGCTAGTATCAAAAAAGAAAACATAATTTTAGGCAAGATTTGCAAATCCATGGTGATTTCCTCCCAGTACTGTTTATACAAAGAAAACGTGTTAGGAGGTTCTTCAGCTATTTCTTATTCATTTCAGTCAGACTGAATGCAATTACCCAATCTCTATTTGGCCAGTACATAAAGTTAATATTCCGATTCCTTTAAAATAGCCCATAGGGTTCTTTCCCCATATACATTAGTTGTTAACACCTTCTTTCTTTTTATTTTTGTTTTGTTTACCACATCTAAACTAAACAGTGCAAATACCTCGGTTTGTAGTAGTGGTTTAGCAAAGAATCAAAAGAAGCAGCCGGGAGGCACACCGGCTGATATCCTACCGCATCTGTGCTTTCCTAGAGACCTTCCAGTTGATAACCAGCCATAAATCACATCTAACAAAATCATACCCAAGAACTTTTGAATATCTATATGCAAGAAACAAAGATTGTGGTTTGATGAAATTAAATTTCTTTCTGTCCTACTGGTCTCAGCAATTGGAAGAGAAAAGTGAACTCAAATTTCCACCATGTCACAGCAAAACCACTGAGTTGACACATACCCCCCAGTTTCAAAACACTGTCATTAATAGAGCTATTATAGATATTTAGCAATAATCTGGGTTTTTTCATACTGCAGCCCTCAACAAGATTAAAGACAATGTCTGGTTTTATCCACTGCTTTACTAGTTAAATGCTTAGAAGACTTTTAATGAGCTAGAAGCCTCTTATACGTAAACAAATTAATATGCATCTTCCCTCTTTTATGTTTATTAATCAACATGTCTTCAGTGGGAATGTTCTAAACAATTTACACAGGATTTCATCTCTTTACTTTTTAATAAAATCCCTGTGTGCTTGAAATTTGTTCAAAGATGTTATTCATCTCAACTCCTTGAAGAAAAGGTGTTAAGAAATTGCTTGTTCTCTCTAACATCTGAAAAGCACGGTATTTTTTTCCCCTTTCAAATACTCCAGCTCATTTTTCTTTCATTAATTGCTGCTACCCAACAGTGTTGATCACCAATGTGGAATATCTGGCAATTGGTGACAAAATGGCGAAGCAAAACAAATTCAATAACAGATCTAATCCTGGTCTCCTTTCTAGTGACTAGACAGACTGGTAAAAATGTCCTCACCAAGGACAAACCACTACAGAGCCATTTACCTGTCTCCACACTCAGATACCCCAGCTAAGAATTTGTGTGTTTGGGATATTTTTATTGCTACAACAGTTAAGATTAAGGAGAAGCAAACCTCAAAGACTGGCAAGTCCTATGAGTTTCATGTCTTCCTTAAGCATTTACTTCTGGATAATTCAGATAAAAATTTCATGAAAAAGGAGTTTTCTTTTTTTTGGTATCCTATAAGTATTCTAAGTATTTCTTCATTTAGGTGAGACTAAGACTAGCAAAGGACATTTGATGGGTATTGTGTAACTGTAATGCAATCTGAATGGGCTAAATAGGACAAGAAAGTCAACAAAATTCAGGTGACCCTGACATACGACATTAAGCCGCTGAACAAAGCTCTTAGCTGCAAGAATATGGAACAGCCTGCTTAGTTCCACAGTAGACACACCAGAAAATTCACAGGGGAGCTGAGAAATCATTTTATTAGAGACATAAAACTAATCTGTAGCATTTTAAAACTGATATTGAGTAGCTGTACAAAAAAACCTGTATCAAAACCTATCCAAGATTTCTGCCCAGGAGGAAGATATTCTTATGTCACGTTATCTTAGTAAAAAGTACAAGTTAGCCCTCTAGTTAAATCTTGAAGTCACTGCTATGAGAATGACAGATACATTTTCACTTCTAACAAAACAGACAAGGGAAAAAAGAGATTAAATTGTAAAAGATGGAGACAATGCAGCTTTTGTTGAGATTCACAGGACAAAGCTCATCAGACAAGGCAAATACCCTGGTTGCTTTGGTTCCTGACTTGATTCTGTAATCTACAGCATCAGACAGCTACACAGCTCATCTCTGTTTCTCTTACTGTTCATTCAGATTATGCAGCTAATACAGCCCTAATGAACCCTTCGTTGGGTAAGCACAGTGTGGCAACCAGTCAGTGAGAGCACTTAGTGGAAAAAAAAAGGGAGAGGTAGGACCCAAAAAAACCCTGGGACACAGCAGAGAAAGACATTTAAGGAAAAATATAGCAAGAACTTATATGATGCACCAGGTGGGATAACCTCTGGTTTATGTGAGATGTCTACTGAGAATGTAAGGTTGAATATTCCAAAGCAGTTTGCCCATGAAAGAGCCTCTGAAGATACAGGCCTGTACTCCAAAGAATTTACCCACTTTGTGTCCTCAACCTCACTTCTAAATTCTCAAAATGGATGTGGCTAGTGATGCTTTATTATTGCTTTCATCAAATAAACCTAATTCCTGAAGAACCACTACTTATTTGCTTTAATCTTCTTTCCAATACCACTCTTCATTTATCAGACATGACTTCACTAAAGACCTGAGGATGTTAGCTCTCATCTGCTCTATATAGATGTGTTCTCAGTCATAACAGAACTATATGGTTCAAGTACATGACAATTTTTGGTTAAATTCAGTTAATTCATACAGTAAGTGGGAAAGAGATGAAGGGAACACGTCCACTTTTAAACAGAAAAAAAGGATAAGGTAACAATGGGGTTTTTTGGATTAAAAAAAATTGTGACTCAAAACAGCCAGGAAAAATAGCAGTTATTTCAACAAAAGACAGAAAAAGAAGTTTCCGTTTGCTCGAGTCAGCACTGAGCTTCTCTGGAGGTATTGTTGTATACCCCAGAGGAAATATTTAATGTGATACGGTTCTGAGAGCACAGTGCATTGCTTCCAATACACTGGAAAGTGTATGCTCTTCATCATGAAGGATGCAGGATACTTGGGGAAAGAAAACTGATAAGCAACACAAAAAGAATGAAAGCTAATGACTATGGCTTAAATGGGAAAGCTGAATTAATTACAGCATGATGACTTCATTTAGTTGATTTTATTTTCTTTTTATGTCTTCCCCATGGTAAGTTCCCAACTTCAGGTGAAAAGGTGAGCATTCTATAGAGATGCTGCTGTTGTGCTCATGAGCCTTACACTATTTGTGTAGTACTTGAAGGCTGCCTTCCTAGCAATGGTCTGCTGTTGTCACCTTGTATCAGGTAAGGTGATAGCTACATTGAGAAGTGTCATTTCAGAGTGCTAATCACAAATGAAATCACATTTTTTAGAGTAGAAGATGAATAAGGAGATCATAATGCCATGCACACCTCAGATACCACAACAGCTATTTGCTGAACCTTTGTTTTTCCCTTACTTGGTAAAGGCCCACCTGCAGAGAGGTTACACAGCCAGACCTCTGCACTCACTCTGCACTCGGGTAAACTGAGCCTCTGCTGTTCCTCAGCACTCCAGCTATTTTCTTATGCCTCACTGGTCCAAAATCATGAGGCGAATGGGGAAAATAATGCCTAGCAATTCATAAGAGAAGAGGTTTTCCTCCCAAAGGAGTGCACTGCCTGTCATGCCTGAAGCTTAGCCAGGTAGCTCTTGCTAATTCCCCTGCCAGCGCCTGCAGCAGTTTTCATACTGCTCTCCTTCTGCCAGCTTCAGCAGGGTATCAGGCAGTGAAGTCTGACAGTTGCAGCTCCGACCCAAGGGACCAGCAAGACCAGTTCTAGCCCCTGGCACTTCAGCATCCCATTTAATCGGTGAATTTGGCTCCTTCTCTGGTCCGCTCTGTTTTCCTGAGAATATGGGGTAGAGACTGACAGACAGGATCAATTTCCATTGCAGCTGCAATTCACAGCTCATTTCTCTGGAACTTCATACTTTACCTCTTACCACAAGCACAATGCTTTTTCAGAAACTCAATTTCAGAATCACAGAGACATTTAGGTGTATTTTTAGCATCCTGTCACTGATTATCAAAACTTGGGTTTAGAATGAAAACTCAAACTGGAAGTTTTGTCTTTTCACCACAGACTGCACAAACCTACTGAAATAAGAAATGAAGAAAGGAGTGGCGTGGTCATTTTCTGTCACTCCACAATACTCCAGTAGCTGCAGACATCTGGTATGTGTTAGGTACCATCTGAAAGACATCTGAACAAAAGGACTTACTTCTTGTCTAGGCAAACTATTAGTGTGGTTTAGCTCTGTAACTACTCTTGTGATTTAAATTCCAGATTGGACTCTATTGTTCATCCACAGGAAGTAAAGGATGAGCAGAACAAGAAAATACATGAACTTAAGATGAAAACAGAATCATAATATACTGTCCACTACAGCTCTTTTAAACACAAAATTAAATTAATGATAATTAAATGTACAGCCTTTATCACAGATTCACTAAGTGGTCTTGTTCAACTCACTTAACATCTTTTCACATCAATTCCCTCTGAGTAAAGCAGGAGTCAGAGTACTCTACCATCAGTATCAGAGGGTGTTGCATATAATTTTATGAATGCCTGCAAGGAACTTGCATACTACAGTGATGGAGACCATAAGCACATACAAACTTTAGACTTGATTGCACACTAAATCAGGGCCACATCTGATTCAGCAGACAATTTAAGACACGTGCTTTGTTTC